AGCAAAGCATTTATCCATTAACCACAGCCCTGCCCCAATGACCCGAACACTTCCCACTAGGCCTTACCTTCCAATTCTGATGCAATGAGGACCAGCAGATGGAGGATACTTCTCTCTCTGTCTCTCCTTCTCTCTCTATAATTTTGCCTTTCAAATAAACAAAATGAACCTTGAGAAAAAAGTCATAAATGATCCATATAAAAATAAAAAGAGGAGGGCCTGGCGCTGCGGCTCGGTAGGTTAATCCTCCACCTACAGTGCTGGCATCTCATATGGGTACCAAGTCTAGACCCAGCTGCTCCTCTTCTGATCCAGCTCTCTGCTATGGCCTAGGAAAGCAGTGGAAGATGGCCCAAGTGCTTGGGGCCCTGCACCTGCATGGGAGACCCAGAGGTCGCTCCTGGCTCCTGACTTCAGATCAGCTTAACTCTGGTCAATGGGGCCATTTGGGGGGTGAACCAGCAGATGGAAGAGCTTTCCCTCTGTCTCTCCCTCTCACTGTTTGTAACTCTACCTCATAAACAAATAAAAAAGGACACATCAATACAAACTGTAGTCATTGATAAGAAGTTATCACTGGAGGAGGAAGCGCTGTGGCGTAGCGGGTAAACCTGCCGCCGGCAGTGCCGGCATCCCATATGGGCTCTGGTTCGCATCCCAGCTGTTCCACTTCTAATCCAGCTCTCTGCTATGGCCTGGGAAAGCAGTAGAAGATGGCCCAAGTGATTGGGCCCCTGCCACTGCATCCACGTGGGAGACCCGGAGGAAGTTCCTGGCTCCTGGCTTTGGATTGGTACAGCTCTAGCCATTGTGGCCAATTGAGGAGTGAACCAGTGGATGGAAGACCTCTCTCTCTCTCTCTGCCTCTCCTTTTCTGTGTAACTCTCTGACTTTCAAATAAAAATAAATATTTTTAAAAAAGAAGTTATCATTAACAGCATTTATTCAATTAATTTGAAAATTTAGATGAAAGAGTCAAATCCCAGAAAAATAAAATTAATCAAAACTTTTTTAAAAAATAAATAACCCTATACAGATTAAAGAAGTTGATTCTAAAATCATGAACCTCACCCTCAAAAAAACAAACAAAAATAAATCCAGGATCAAATGGCCTCTCAGGTAAAGTTAAGAAAAAAATAATACCAATCTTCAAAAAGTTCATGGAAAACAAAAATAAAAGATAAGTCTATATCAGTCCCAAAATTTTTGAAATCCCTACATGGTTTTTTATGATATGCATTTTCTATGAATTTTTCTACAAGATTTATGTATTTATTTGGAAGGCAGAGAGGAAGAGATGGAGAGCAAAATCTTCCATCTGCTGATTCACTCCCCAAATAGCTGCAATTACCAGGGCTAGACTAGGTCTAAGTCAGGAGCCCAGAATTTCTTCCAGGTCTCCCACGTGGATGCAAGGACATAAGCACCTGGGCCAACTTCCACTGCCTAGAGCAGAGGTTGGCAAACGTTTTCTGCAAAGTCACAAAAAGTAAATATTTTAGGCTTTGCAGGCCAAGAGAGGGGAAAAGAAAAAGAAAAAAAGAATATTTTGAAGTTACCTATAAGCAAGAGAGAAAAGAAACTTCTACAAATATGTTATTGGAAACATTCAAAAAAATTTTTTGACAGGCAGAGTTAGACAGAGAGAGACAGAGACAGAGAGAAAGGTCTTCCTTCCATTGGTTCACCCCCAAAATGGCTGCTACAGCCAGCGCTGCGCCAATCCGAAGCCAGGAGCCAGGTGCCTCCTCCTGGTCTCCCATGCAGATGCAGGGCCCAAGGACCTGGGCCATCCTCCACTGCCTTCCCCGGGCCACAGCAGAGAGCTGGACTGGAAGAGGAGCAGCCGGGACATAATCTAGCACCCCAACTGGGACTAGAACCCAGGGTGCCAGCAGCTGCAGGTAGAGGATTAGCCAAGTGAGCAGTGGCGCCGGCCAGAAAACATTCAAATTTAATAATAGGAATCAAATGCAATTGTTTGTAATGCATGTCTACTCACCAGAAAAAATAAAATTCTTAGGAGCTTAATTTAGTTGAGCTGGAGTTCAAAATTAGTGTGCTATGTCATCCAATAAATTGCAAATTTTGATCCACAGAAACCCTATTGGGCATTTGGCATAGCAGTTAAGAGGCCGATTGAGAAACCCTTGTCCCCTATTAGCATACCTGGATTCAATACCTTGCTGCAGCTCCTAATTGAGCTTCCTGCCACTGCAGACCCTGGGAGGGAGTGATTTCTTGAGCAGTTAGGTCCCTAACACCCACATGGGAGACCTGGATCGAGATCCAACTCCTGGCCTGGGTCCCAGCTGTTGCAGGATTCTGCGGAGTAAGCCAGGACATGGGAGCTGTCTCCCTCCAGCTAGCTGACTATCTCTATAAATATTCTGTGTGTATTGTGGGGGAAAGGTGTGTGCACGCACGTGTATGCGTGCTTGACCGTATCTCTGCTTCTCAGCTATAAATAAACAAACAAACATACAACAAACCATTCTTAGCTCACAGGCTATACAAAACTAAGTAGTAGGCCACATTTGGCCTACAGGCTACATTTTGCAAGCCCTTATATTGCAATATAAAAGCTGTAAATTGGAGCTGGAGCTGTGGCTCACTAGGTTAATCCTCTGCCTGCAGCGCTGGCATCCCATATGGGCGCCGGTTCTAGTCCCAGTTGCTCCTCTTCCAGTTCAGCTCTCTGCTGTGGCCCAGGAGAGCAGTGGAGGATGGCCCAAGTGCTTGGGCCCCTGCACCCACATGAGAGGCCAGGAGGAAGCACCTGGCTCCTGGCTTCAGATCATTGCAGCGCCGGTCAGAGAGGCCATTTGGGGAGTGAACCAACGGAAAGTAGCTCTCCTTGAGGCTCCTCTGCAATTAGGTGAACATACGAGGCTAGTGTTGTTTACGTTTTATTTGTTGGCCTATTGGCTTTGTGCAGTGCAGGGCAGATCCACACATATGTGTTGAGTGCCTCTATGTGATGACTAAGACATATGGCTAAAGGAATGAGAATCCTTGCCCCCCAGGCTTCTTTCTTTTCTTCTTTTCATATCTCTTGATTTAACTTAAGACCCCCTTTAAAGTCTCCCACCTCTCTGGCATTGAATCTTAGAATTGATCCTGTCCTCTTAAAAATTCACATTTGAGTCTTTAAACTGGGTGATTCACCCTCCAGCTGTAACATGTCCTCTAACCAAGTTTAGGCATCTTCACTATTAAAAATAATTTCTTTGAAAAATAGTTGTTTTCCAACAACAATCATTTAAACTCTGATTAAAAATGCTTTAAGCTTAATGAAAATAGAGGTCAAGTACTTCTCTGCAAGTATCCACTCAGTACCTTAGGGAAATCTCCATCACCTCATCCAAGTGTGTGGCAATGTCTCCTTGACAACAGCAAGTAAGTCTGTTGCTAAGAAGCCTGCTGTTGTGCTCTAAGACAACACCAACATCATCAAGGAAAACAGTTACATGGTATAATTATATCCTACCTGTGATCAGATTCAAGATTTTTGCTGAAACCCAACTATCTGCAAAACAATGTGATATCAGGCAAATGAACATTCGTAGAAAAATCCCAGTAAATCCTACTGTACATTGCACATGCTAATTAAATAAATTCACAGGTTGCTAGCAAATAAACACTCTTTTAACAACTGAATTCAATGACTATAATTGAAACAATACTTTGTTGGAAAAAGCAGCCTTTTATCTGTCATTATTAGGCATCCTTCCATTCTCCCATTTTACTTCTTGTACTAAAATACTCATTTTGCACCCGAAGCAGTGTTATTTGGGATTTGAGAAGAAAAATTTCTAAATTCTCTAATAGCTCAATTTCTCTGAAATGATGAATACCAAAAAATGCAGAAGGTACATAATTGTTTTAAAAAGATTTATTTATTTATTTATTTGAAAGTTCGAGTTACACAGAGAGAAGGAGAGGCAGACAGAGAGGGAGAGAGAGAGAGTCTTCCACCTGTTGGTTCACTCCCCAATTGGCTGCAACAGCCGGAGCTGCACTGATCCAAAGCCAGGAGCCAGGAGCTTCTTCCGGCTCTCCCATGCAGGTGCAGGGGCCCAAGGACTTGGGCCATCTTCTACTGCTTTCCCAGGTCATACCAGAGAGTTGGATAGGAAGTGGAGCAGCCAGGACTCTATATGGGATGCCAGCACTGCAGGCAGTGGCCCCACCAGCTACATCACAGCACAGGTACCAGAAGGTACATAATTAGCAAATATGTTTGTACAAAAAACTGAGTAGCCTCAAAGTGCCTAGAAATTCAAAGGAGCCCAAATTCATCTTCTCGTCAAACTCAATTACACAGTGTTTCATGACATGTATGTTTCCTTCTAATGGGTGAGTTATCTTACATACACATCTTCCCTGTGGAGACTTTCCTGGTCTCCTGTCCACATACTTCCATCTACAGCCTGAGAAAAAAGGTTGGGCAAGTAAGGCCAAACACATTACCAGCTCCAATGAGTTCCCACCTCCCTGAGTACTTTCTCTGTTTCTGGTAGGGAAATGAAGGATTGTTGTTGGCTTTATCTGCTTTTTCAGCAGGACTGTGTATTGGTTTAGACCAGACATTTACATTTAGCAGACTTCTCCTTTGGAATATATTAATGAGCACCTTAAGGAATTTAGCATATTCTGCTTACCTCACATGTCTAATACATCATCCTCTTTCTATTGGATCAGGTTGTCTCATGGGAACAATATACTTTCTGATTTTTTTGTCTCAACTAAGATGTGTTAACATCTTTAAGCACAAGTACAACAGTTCTTAAGCACAGCACAGTTCAATGCAGCAAATTTGGCTTCTTCAAAAGGTCAGGTTCATCAAGAGACTCATTAGCTGCTGGTTTTGTGTGTCACCTGGGAACAGAATTGAAGAATCACACCAAAAGTTCTCCTAACACAGCTCTGAGGGCTTTCATGAGAGGACATAAATGAGTTCCATCAATTTATTTACCATTTCTGTATCTCTTTATCAGGATTGCTCCAGTGTGTCTCTGTGCATTCTGGGAGGGACAGCTCAGTCTTTGCTGTAAGTAATCACACAGGCAAGGAGTTCCTTGTCAATGAATTTTTAAGAGAATTCTATTAGCAATGCCTAGAATCCCTCACTATTCTATGAATTTTCCCAAATCCTTGGTATGTGTTATACCCAACTGTGTTCCTCTGAAATTCTTATGTTCAAATCTAAATCCCCAATCCCTCAGAATATGACTGTATGTGGAGTTAGTGGCATTAAAGAGATAATGATGTTAAAATGAGTTCACTAGGATGGGCTCTAATCCAATATGTGTGGCATCCTGAGAAGACAGCATTTCAGGCAACAGTTAGTTATGCTGCTCTACTTGTGATCTAGCTTCCTCCTAATGCACCTAGGAAAGGAACAGATGATGGTCCAAGTACTTGGGCCTTGCCACCCTTTTGAAGACCAGGATGCAGTTCCTGGTTCCTGGCTTCGGCTTGGTCCAGCCCTGGCTCTTGTGGCCTTTTGGGGAGTGAAGGAGTGGAAGATTCTCATTTCTCTCTCTCTCTCTCTCTCTCTCTCTCACTTGCTCTCTCTCTCTCCCCTGCTCTGTCACTTTGCCTTTCAAATAAATAAACAAATCTTTTTTCTTAAAGATTTGTTTGTTTACTTGAAAGTCAGAGTTACACAGAGAGAGAAGGAGAGGCAGAAAGAGATCTTCCATCCACTGGTTCACTCCCCAGATGGCCACAATGGCCGGAGCTGTGCCAATCTGAAGCCAGGAGCCAGGAGCTTCTTCCGGGTCTCCCACATAGGTACAGGGGCCCGAGGACTTGGGCCATCTTTTACTGCCTTCCCAGGCCACAACAGAAAGCTGGATTGGAAGTGGAGCAACTGGGACATGAACCAGTGCTCATATGGGATGCCAGCCACTGCAGGAGGTGGCCACTACTCCACAGCACTGACCCCAATAAATAAATCTTTAAACACACACAAATTATTCTCTTACTGCTCTGTATGCCACAAGGATGGAATCAAGGTCTTATCAGGATGGTTTCCTCCTGGAGACTTCAGGGAAGCTTTTGTTTCCCTTCCGTTTCTGTTGTCTAGAGGCTGCCTACATTCCTATGCGTCTGGCTCCTCCTTCTTCCATCTTCAAAGCACATCCCTCCAACCTTTGGTTCCATCATCACATCTCCTTTTTCTAGCTTTGGTTGTACTGTCTCCCTCTTACAAAGACCCCTGTGGCAACATTGGACCCCAACCAGTTAATTTCCCCATCTCAAAATCCTTAACTCACATCTGCAAAGTTCTTCTACCATATAAGGTACTGTATTAACAGGCCCCATGGTTTAGGATGTTAGCATCTTTGGGGACCACTTGACAACCTATGACAAACTTTGGCAGGCTCTGGGGATACTCATGCTGTAATGGAGGCAGATGAAGAGTGTTGGGCAACCTAGGGTACTACACAGAAAATAAAGTGGAGATGGGAACCTACCCCAAGGTGATTGCTGGTAAAGGCACCTGGGCAGGCTAAGGCCAGTGTGAAAAAGGCCTGAAAAGGTCAGGAGTGGTCCAAGCATATGAAAGTCAAGGTTGCTCCCAGTTTCTATTAAATAAATTAAATTTTAACTTATTTAAAATGATGGTGAGGTAGGCAAAAATTGATTCCATTCAGAATGTGAATTCTGGCAATCATTTTAGGTCTGTATCCTAAAAAGTACTTAAGCCTTATAGAGATATCATATTAAAGCATACTTTTTTGTAGTTTAATCATTTTAATATAACTTCTGAGAAAGTGATATTAAATTTCAAAGATCTACATATGATCATATCTCTCTATGGAATATAAATTATAAAGTTTAATTTATTCAGAGGTTATGATCAATTAGGCATTCTGGTGAGAGTTTTATACAAATACAAAACAAACACAAACACAAATACAAGACACAAATAAGTAAAAACCAAAGTAATTTTCATTTCAGAAATAAATAATCGTTTTTTTTTTTTATTTTTGTCAGAATTTCCAGCTCTATTATCCACTTTGCCTGATTAGGTCCAACCTAACAGCCATATGAAGTGAACAGACTTTATGAATCTCTTTAATCTTCATACTAGTATCTAATGCTAACTATAGCATTTTAAGACTTTTCTTAAATATAAAACTAAATCATATTTGTGTAACTTTGGGAATGTTAAAACTGCTAAAAATTATGCAAAGTTTAATACACACATACCCACACACATGCTTTAGTCATATCATAAAAATATCTAAAACATACAAAGGCATCTGAGTAATTTTGAAATCGTGAAAGTACAACATGCACAATAAACGACACAAGAATTATTTTTAAACAGTCACTATAGCAGTGAGCATTTAGCCTTGCAGTTAAGGTGTTTGCCTACCATATCAGAATATGTAGGTTGATTTTCAGCTCTGGCTCCTGAATCCAAGCTTCTTGCTAATGCAGATCCTGGGAGGCAGCAGTGATGGCCCCAGTAACTGGTCCCTGCCAGCCACGTGGGAGATCTGGACAGCATTCCCAGGCATCTGAGGTACAGCCCAGCAGACGGGAGCTCTCAGTGTCTCTCTTTCTCCTTCTTTTTGTCTTCCACCTTTCAAATGAATAATGATAATAAAACCAGACACTGTGGTCTATAGACCTGAGTAAACAGATAACATTAAATATTCTATGTGACCAACAAAGAGCAGCTCTTCTCTGAGTTTTAAATCTTTCCTGTAGAGGTACCTTTCTCTGAAGGGAGGAGAGAACTTCCACTTTGACTGTGACCTTGTCTAAATATGATCAGAGCTGGCGAACTCAAAAGGCCTCCATAGCCTTGGCAACTCCTGACAAGAGCCTAGGGGGATTACTGACGCCATAGATAAAGAGTGTCAGTTTGTTAAGTCAACAACAGGAGTCACTGTGCACTTACTCCTTATGTAGGATCTCTGTCTTAAATGTGTTGTACATTGTGATTTAATGCTGTAACTAGTACTCAAACAGTATTTTACACTTTGTGTTTCTGTGTGGGAGCAAACTGTTGAAAGCTTTACTTAATATATGCTAAACTGATCTTCTGTATATAAAGAGAATCGAAAATGAATCTTGATGTGAATGGAATGGGAGAGGGAGCGGGAGAGAGGAGGGTTGTGGGTAGAAGGAAGTTATGGGGGGGCAGAAAGCTATTGTAATCCATAAGCAGTACTTTGGAAATTTATATTCATTAAATAAAAGTTTAAAAAAAATCTTTCCTGTAGTTCCTGTGTAACTACAGGAAAATCACTTAGCTTCCTCTGAGCTTCAATTTCCACCTCTGAAAAATGAAGGGATTAAATTAGAGAATTGTATAGACTTGTTCACCCTCTTATATTCCATGATTTTTTTTTAAGTTTGTGTGTCCTCATTACCCACAGAGTAAAATCCCATGTCAGTGGATCTCTAAAATTTTTTTAATTTTTAATTTTCAGTCTAAAAACATTAGACAGAAAGTCAATATTAGAATTCATACATTGTTCCCAAAGAACCACAGAGGAAACAGTAAAAAAAAAAAAAAAAAAAAAAAAAAAAAAGAGAGAGAGAGAGAGACAGTGAGTGAAAAGAAACCCTTGGAACCCATTTTTCAAAAGTAACAAACATCAGTTTCCTTCTATACCAACCCATCTTCCCATAAGCGCTCCTGGATGCTGCCTGTGCTGTCCTCTGGTACTGGGCACTCTGGAAATTCAGGTGTAGCTTCCAGTGGGAGTTGGTGAAATATAAGTAAGGCAAGAGGAAACAGAAGGGTAATACATAGCTAATGTCTTTGGCAAAAAAAAATTTAGAAAACTACATACAGGTATGATCTCAGGTCTGCACTGCAAACAGCACACAAACAAGCTATTTTGAAATGTACTACAGATAAAATTAAGCACTTGTATAAGAGCAAGCAGAATATAGAGCCAAGAGAGGACTGGGAACAATTAGCAGGAGCAGAGAAATACTTTTGTGTCAGCAACCCCTTCTCTGTAATACTTTTCTCATATAAGGAAACTTCAAAATGTAGATGGGAAAATAGAATCAAAAGATAATGCGTACTTTTCATGAACCTTTGAAGTCCCTTGTAATTACAAGTGTGTCCCTTACCTGAGGCCTAACTGGATGGTCCATCCGCAGTGGCTGCCCCCAGCACCCACGAGGTACGTGTGGAGAAGGCCAAGACATGTTTGTAGAGAACAGATTGGGGGTGCATATGGCTGTAGGCAGTTCTCTCTTTCCAGAAGAACCAGCTTGTCCTGGCAGAAGGTTTAGAAAATGAACTGAAGGAACCACTCAGTTCAGGCAAATTTAATTTTTTTCAGACATAAACTAAATGCTTATAGCACCAACATTTCCTTTTTTTCCTTCTCCAAATCAGGTACATAAGGAGGAAAGTCTGGGCAACTTCCCTTAAGGAATAGGAGGAAGTATGTAGTTCTTCAGGTAAAACCACATTCTCTGGTGAGGTTCAAATAAGAAAAGGCCCTTCCTGATTCCTTTATTTTTTTCTCTGCTTTATAACTCAAACCTCATCACTGACCTTAGGAACAAGGGTGACAACATTTACTAATGAATGTGTCCCTTCAATGGAGCTAGTGTGCCTATTATAAGAGAGGCTAGAGAACATAAAACCAAAAAATAAATAGATAATCAATCCCAAATGCTGCTCCTGCTTAAGTCAAGCTGGTGAACAGGCAGAAGTCCAAGTGTCAAAAGGTTCAAATCTTGCAGTATCACAGAACAATGGGTTTGGAATGATAGACTGGTGAGAGCACCCATGTGTGAAGCCGTCAAAGCAAGTGCATGAGTGCAGGATATCTTGCCCAAGTGGAAACGCTATAGTATACATACCTATAAATGGTATGTATTTAACTGTATGTCAATATTTTTTCTTTCAGCTGAGTTTTAAATATCAGATATTCACATTTATTCAATTTATTCCTCTAAATAGAGTGTTTGAAAATGAGTAGCAGGGTCTAGGCAAATGGCTAGTCCATGTTTCTAATTACTGGTGGATCAAAAAGCATTCATATCAACTGAAACTGATGGCTGCTTTTTATGAGAGCTGAAGAACTAACTAGGACCCATGGTCACCAGACATCTACATGAGGGAGCAATAAGGCATTGTTATTGTGGAGGTCACCCCTCAAGCTACCACTTCATGATCTTGGCATAGCCTGCTGAACAAAAAGTGTTCTAATAATACCTTATGATGACTTTTGTTTCCTCCAAGATACATTTCAATGTCTCCACTACGTTGCATCATTCTGATTGTGTGTGTATGCATGTGTGAAAATTGGAGCAAACTGAACACAACAAAACCAAGTGTCTTGATTAGCAAAGTAGCAGATTGGATTAGATACACTTCATGCACAACCTGCTCTGCAAGATGCCAAAGCAACCAGAAAATCCAACAAGAACCTATGATTGAGATAAGGAGGGGAAACTGATTGGCTTTCCACTTTGAATGAGTCACATGCTTCTGCTTCTGCTTCTGCTTCAAAAACCTGTAAACCATGTTATCTCAGATACAAAATGGTACAAGTCTCAAGCTGTTTCAAAATTCCTTCTACAGATAAGTCATTCAGCAACAAAAATATCTACAAATTATCTGCTTCTAAAATTATCTTTTCTTCCATGTGACACCAGGCAGAAATCATTCAAACTCAAAATATGACATTTCTGAGATATAACAAGATTATCTTAATTGTATAAACCAAATGGTTTTCTATTGCATTACAGAAGCAAAACAGCAGGACTGTTGTCTCTACATGTTCATGGGTCAACATGCAGCTCTATAGGTATCTTCCCATAGCCCCATGGGGGAGTGCTACCATTCTGCCATGACACAGCTCCAGACTGAGCCTCTCATGGTATGGGCACACACCCAGCACACTTGCAGCAGAAAACAAACCCATGATGTCTGGTTCCTATACAGGCAGTGATTTCAATTCTGATTTCCCACTGACCTGTTTCCCCCTGAGACCAGGCAAAAGCAACACTGCTTTTGCCAAAGGCCCCTTGAGCCATTCTCTGCAGCTTGGTGACCTGAGGTTAGAGTGCCAATTACATCAGCCTCCTCCTTGGGGACTGGCAAGCAGCTGTCTGGTTCTCTCTATGAAATCCAGTTTCTTCCTTCATTCTGCTTGGAGCCTGACTGTTGTACTCATATGTAATCTGCATGGCCCTCACTAAAATTTTTTGGTTCCCTTTTATTGAGATTTGCTCATAAACTTAAGACCTAACCTGCATGGAATCTGCTCTGAAGCCAGCATCATTATTGCTTTAAAAAGTCCTTAACATCTTTGTCTCAGCCTTGAGCTACCTTCCAGGCCTCTGGGTACACCCTCATAAATGTATAACCAACTTCTTAATACATGACAGCAATGCCACAAAATGAATACTAATTTAATGTGGTACACCGTTTCCAAGGGCTTGCTCACTTTTTACTTGTTTACATGGTAACCAATATTTAAATATCTGGTTAAGCACTATGGAATCCTTTTGCAAATAGGACCTGTAGTTCTAGTAGCGTAAGTGGGAAAGCTCTTATCTACTAACTAGAGAAAAGTTGTATAACGAATTGGAGAATTTGGTAGAACATCTTTTTTGTTTTTCTATGAGGGCAAGTGCAATGACAACAATAGCTTTCATGTGCTTAATAGGATATATCTTTGGTTGTTTGAGGCTTTACAGCTTATTAGTATACTATTACCTTGACTGTATTTTCATTTTATGGAGCTATTATAAAGAATGCAACACATAAAGCTTTTGTGGAAAACAATTTTGGAAAAAAAATTTGAAATGTGTCTGAGAGCTAATGTGATATGGTAGAGAAGAAATGTTTAAAATGTCATCATTTTTTCTTCAATAAAAGATTGGACAATTTTCTGATGAACTTATTACAGCCTACTCATAATCTCACTTTTATTTATGATGGACAGGAAATGAAAAGAGAAGCTTCTCCTTTCCTTTTCTCTTGCCTCTTCAGTTCCCACCCATCATCAAGAGTTTGTTTTACATTTTTCCAGACTTTGTTCTATGCTTGCAGGAACATGTATTTTGTTGTTGTTTTTCCCAGATGAAAATAGAATCAGGCTGTGAAGATGGCTTTGCAAATGTGATTTGGTTTTACTTATCATGAATAATTTTTCACATTGGACATACGAATCTGGTTCTTCCTTCATAACTGCTACGTGAATTTCCTTTGATGAATATTCTATCATTGATTCAAACACCAATTGATTTAAACATTTTCCCCCAAAGTTTTCCCCCAATTGTTGACCAGTAAACAATACTACAATGAGCATCCTTGGACATATAACTTTTATACAATTGAGATAATTCTCTCTTATATGGCATGGATGTTATTAATCTACTGAAATATTGCCTTTTGGCTAAGGGATATAGTTTATTGTTAGTATTTAATTTTCATTTATTTATTCCTGTCATGAGTCATTTTTTCATAAGCTCATTCAACATTTATATCCCCTCTTCCATGAATTTCTTGTTTATATGCTTTGTCTGTTTTTATTT